TTGTGGTTTAAATTTCATATTTTTTAGAGGTTGTTTGGCATGCCTATAAATTTGAGACTTTAGCTGCTTTGGTGAAAACCCTAGATTTTATCCGGTTGAGACTTGGCTAAAATTACTAGAAATCAAGTTGAACTTAAAGTTTGAGTTTTTGACTTGAACCGAGATAGATAGCCGGTTGAGAAAAGAACCCTAGTCTGGCCTTTTTCAGTCAGTCCGGATGAACTCTAGATCCGGATAGAAAGTTATGCGTCGGCTGATGTCGTGTCCGTGCGTATGCACCCGGACCACGATTAAGTCGAGTTGCACCCAGTCAGATAAATAAGATCAGATCAGTCATATAAGTTAGCTCAGATAAATCAGATAAGATAGCTCAGATAAATCAGATAAGCAGACCAGACTTAGAAATATTTCAGAGAACCCTAGAATGCCTCAAGTGGGAATCAAATCGCAAGACCGGGAACCTGGCATCTCTCCCCCGGGTAAACCATTGGAACTGGGGGAAGCTCAGCCCAAAGCCATTTATTGATGGGCGAACGACGGGGATTGAACCCGCGCATGGTGGATTCTCTTTCGGATTCGATCCCATCTTTTGTACCCAACCCCGGCTCAACCTAGCACGACCAGTAAAAAAGGGAGAGTGGCTCATGCATGATGCCATCGGGCTTTCTAATCCCCGCCGTGTTCTAGTCAACTCATAGGCCTTTGGCCTCCTTTTTTGTACCAAAAAATCAAAAAAAAAAGCGTATGCGGTGGCACTTATCGGGTTCTGTGGCATGCGACCTTTGTGGGGAACCGGAGTCGGTACTTCACGTATGCGTTTACGCTCTTGATGATTCAAGTTTCGCATCTCTTCTTTTACCCTCTTTCGCAAAAAGATACCAAAGATATGAAGCTCAAGGCTTTTAATGATCTCGCCACTCTTTCCGATTAATTCAACGTAAAGAAAGCTCATTAGGCGGGGATAAATCCAGTTTGATCGACCTAATGCTTAGGGAAATTTCCATTGGAATAAGAATCGGAGAAATCCCATTGAGGAATGAAGTTCAAATACCGAAAGAATCTATCATACAACAAACACTTGTTACGCCGACAAATCAGACGTTACGCCGACCGGCGTATCGTCTGATTTTCTCGAAGTTTCAGGAATGGACACCCCCCAAAATCAGACGTTGCGCCGACAACTTTAATATACTAGAGCTAGTTGTCAGCTAGACGTCTTTTTTTTTGGGGGGTGTCGCGAATCAATGTGCGCGCTTCGGAGTTTAACAAATTCAACAGACGTGCGCGTTAGCGCAACGGCTTTCGCACGTCTTGCTCAATCCCTTGCTTGTTTGACGCGAAGATAAGAATCGAGCTAAAGGAAGGGAACTCAACGCAGAGGCAGACAGTAAGCCCGTTCTCTTTTCACGCTATTCGAATTCAATTCATTCCGAATAAAGGAAGGCGGTCGTGATAGGTCACGTTGATCCATTGCTCGATCGATTTTGCATGCTCTGCTCCTACTCTAGTGGAAGGATCAATAGTCCAGCTAGCCACGCACACGCTTCACTTCTAATTCTTGACTACTAAGTGGCATACTAATGTGATTTTTTGAGTCTCATATATGGTCAAAAGTACTCAATTTTGACGCATTTCGTGGAAGTTGGTCGATTTGAAGTCGCTTTATGGGCCACTGGAGATAGAGAAGAGTTTGTGAAGCTGCCCTCCACACAAATAGACTCGCCTGTTCAGGGACGGTGATTGGGTACACTACTTTCAGTCTTCCCACACTCCAACCATGCTCAACACCACAACCCCACAAATTCCTCCTCCCTTGCTATTAATCATTAACATTTAATGATATTTTAATCAAGCGAGAGAACCGAGTAAGATTTATTAATAATAAGAAACAAGTTTTTATTTGAGCTTAGTACTTAGTACATTTTGCTCGAATATTAATGTAGCTTAAGGAGAGTCGAGCCTCCGACAGCTACCAGTGAGTCAGCACTTGCCTAGCAGTAGCAGTTATCAGGTGGGGGTCACGTACTGGTTATACTTCATCTTTAATTTTCGTACCATGTCCGAGGTATGTATGAGAAATAGTTAGATCATCATGAGGGAGACCGTGGCGGGACTTAATGTTCCCCCGTGATTCTGAGGGAGGCCTTAATTGGCTGTAATGATCCCCCGGAGTGTGCACATGATTCGCTTTTAAGCCCCAGGGTCTTTATGACAACCAGATGCCCCAGTTACAATTTCAATTCACATCACGAGCATAGCGGTTTTGCTCACGCCCCCACTACATTTTTCAGGTGACGGAGCGGCGCGTGGCGCGTGAGATTTCAGTGGTGGTCATGGTCATTAGCAGTCTTTTTGTAACGCATCTGCATGTCATTTATTGAACATGTACTATTATTACTATGCGTAGACATATTATGTTTCAGCTTCCGCACATTTCAGACTTAGTATGAATTATGAGATTATCAGACTTATGCATGTATAATGCCTTTATCTCCGTGGTACCTTTATATAATGGATTTGATTAGGTTGCATGTATTTATTTACGTCTGCATAAGAAAGAGTTTAAGTTAGTAGCATCCCGCAAGTTAGTATGAGTATTTTCGAAAATAAAGTTTAAGAGTTTTTCGAAA